TCACGCCATGAACTCATGAACTGTAACCGAACTATTTTATTTAAACGCCATCTCGTGGCGACATGAAAAAACGTCAGTAGACCTCCAGCCGCCAGTTTGTTTTAGTTTACTATGTCTCTGTTATTCAACTGCTTGATGTTCCATTTGGTATATGTTTCATTTTTATGTATATTTCTTTTGTTTGTAACCGTTCCTGTGTGCTCTGTTAATAAATCCTCTTAAAGCTAGCCGGCATTAGTGTCTATTGAGGAACGGCTACATCACAAAATCTAAAACCTTTCAGTTTTTTTAATATGTTTAAAACTGTTTTGGTTTTTTATCCAAATTATTCACTCTATTTCCCAATCCCTGAGATCTCAAAGCGTTTTATTATTTTACTTCCAATCCAGTATTTGAATTGCTTAAAGATTCATGTAAGAGTGTGAATTGCTTAAAGATTTGAATTACATTTCATGTTTGATTAAGGAACTTTTGATTAAGGAACTCTACGATTTGAAAGCGAACAATGGCAACATTTTTAAATCAATATTTTTATCTCCAGCGAGCGCCACTGTTGCCACTGGGGAAAATGAGTATGGAAACCAGCATTTTCAGAGTTTTTGATTAATATAGCGGCTGATTAAAGTCGTACGAATATAAGAATTATCGAAATGCCTTCTCACGAATTTTTGGAATACGGACGGTAACTCTTTCGAAACTCAAATCCGGCCATTGCGGAGGATATGGTGTCACAAACAAACATAGAGACAGGGTTGCCACTCAAACAGGAGAATGAAATTCCCTGACTTTTCCAGGTTTTCCAGGTGTGTTTCAAGAAAATTCCAGTCTATCCGCGTAATGTGCGTTGGCTGTGCTAAGAGGTAAATTAATTATGGTATTACTTATATGTGTAGCAAATTCACTTAATTATTCAATAAATCCCAGAGGACATTTATTCTTAAGTATTCTGGTCTACTTTGTTTGATAATTTTGTTTAGTTTTCCACTAAGAAACTTAATAAAATTTAAGATATATACATTGGATAACAAATGTAGTTTTATTTAATTATTACTCATGATCATCACCAGTTCAACACGAGGCTAATCCGGTCCTTATAAATCACAACGCAATGCTAAATAGTTAGTTAGATTTTAGGTAAATTTAATTTGCGTGAGGTATGTTCTTAAAAGGCCCCTTAACACTTGAAAACACAAATATAATTATAATAGTGTTTGTTTCTCCCTGAAGATTGAGATTAGAATCTTCCCAATCTGGAAATAAAATAGGCTTTTTTTTGCAGACATTCTGCAGCTAAACGAAAGAAAGAAATCTATTTTAATAAATTGAGGTATTTTATATTTATTTTGCAGCATACATAAGGAAAAAATATGTGCATTAAATTTCGTGACGGTATGTCATCATGTTGCTATAATTAATTTTAGGATTATGCCAGAGAAAAAATTTCCTTGAAATTTGGAAATATTATTTACTAATAATAAATAAATTTAGAGGGGAAGAAGCAACATTAAATTATATGAATAACATAAAAATAATTACTTAAAAATTGAATTAGAATAATCAACGATATTTTAGCGAATATAGGGCTAGCCTAGATGACTGATTACTATTTTTTTATTTACTGCAAAATGGCAAGGTATTTATTAAAAAGAAAAAAAAAAAAAAAAGTTTAAAAGATTTTGCGGTAAAATTCTAGTATACGGTAAGGTTTGGCACGAGTTTGAAAATTGGTCGCCAAGACCAAAATGACCCGTTTATGCGCATCATGATGTCGCCAATCCCATTATTATTCTAAACAAAGAACGTCTAGTAAAGAAGAAAGGTTCCATACAAGTAAATGCTACTACGCCGTTAGAATGCGGAGGGAAAATTTGCCAAGGGATTGGCGACGGAAACCTGGCGGCCAGAATTTCTCTCTTCGCGCTGTGTACGAAATTGAGAAACACGTGTTAAGAAGAAACGCCTTTGACAAAAAGAAAACTACGAAAATCCGTTTTTAAAATTATTGCGAAAAATCCACGCAATAATTTTTAAAACGGATTTTCGTAGTTTTTTTTCCCCTGAAAATAACTAATCCATGAATTAATTTACTTGCGCCAAAAATATTTTCTTTCCTTTAGAGTTTAACCACTTGCGCTAAGACTAAACTTCACGGTTGCGGTGCGTGCGCTACAATATAACAAGCGGTAAGTGTCTCATTTACGCGCTCCGCATCTGCGAGTGCAATCCAGAGCTGTAACTCGAGAAATAAACCAATTTCGTTGTAGGCGACGTGTGCACCACGTTATTTTTCATTTTTGCGATAAATGCTTATCGACGTGGTGTTCACGTCGCTCACGGTTGAGACAAAAGCATCTCGACGTGCGTGGCGCGTCTTTTTAGCGCAAGTCGTTCAAGAAATTTTAAAACGATATTCATTTTATGAACTCTTGATAACGTGACTTCGAACTTCGACACCGGTTTCGAGCTTCGGGACAGATATATCAGACATGCACAGTGTTTCCCTCTATGATGGAACGGAGCCCCGTCTGTTGCAGAGAGCTTTTCCCCTTCTTTACAATGCATATTCTTTGATTCTAACCTCCATGGTACCGTATACTAGGATTAACCCATTTTGTTTTATACGAGAACAGGTACTTTCTTTAGTTCATGCACTGCACATGGATTCTCGAGAATACTGGAAACCAAAGTTGCTTTGCCTTTCTAAAAGACAATCAAATTGGAGCTGCGAAAATTGGCTCTATGCCAGCTACCCGAATGACACTCACGTGATACATAATTCGCCAAAAAGTTATCTCTTCCGACGTCGGCGCAAAAATCGCTTTTTTTGGCGGCATCGTTGTAGAACTTCCCTGACTTTTCCAGATTTTGACAAAAATACTTACATTCCCTGACTTTTCCCTGAATATTTTGGTCAATTTTCGAATTCCCTGACTTTTCCCGGTTCTCCCGGTTTTCCAGGTAGCTTGGCAACCCTGTAGAGAGAGACTCGCAGCCATTTTAATAGTAAAGAAGGTACAAAACTTCTATACGCGTGTTTCTTTCCCACGCACATTTTTACAATTATATACAGGCTTTTATAACTTTAAGCAGGAGGGACTAAAATTCGAAAACTGCATTTAATAAAAGACTTAAGTATAAAAAATTAATTTTAAGAAAAATTTGGTGCATTATAATGTATTTCTCCTACCTTCTTAGCATGCCTTTGTGGTGTAGTGGTCAGCACGCTCGACGCGTATTCGAGAGGTCCGTGGTTCGATTCTCGGCGAGGATATTGCTCATTTTACATTTCTCCTGCTATAATAAAAATACCTAAGGTCTCTACAGTGGCGTCCGAACTAAAAGGTGATGAATGATGATTCTATTTTTTTTTAAATACCTACTATGTCTATAGCATAGATGTTTAGTGAGTGAAGCTATATTTTATTATAATGCGATACTTTATTGTTTATTTTCAATGATTTCTTAGCAATTTTGGATATTTTTTTTTATTTTTCGGCACAAAGAGGAATCTTATTATTTAACAATCAAATACGGATAATAAAGTACGGATCAGCTTATTTTTTTCTTTGTGACTTTCTCAAATATATTTTTATTATTTTCGGCACGTTCTTCAATTTTTCAGTATAAGCTGACAGCCAAAAAATCTAATCTATATTTTAACTAACTGATGTTAGTTAAAATATAGATTTAATTTTTTGGCTATCTTTTCATTAAAGAATTCAATGATAAGGAACACAATAGTCATTATATAGCAATACACATGTACTGTTTCTGCTGAAAAATACTCCTTCCAGCTGGCTTTATCTCATGCAGTTGTACACACATAATACGGCTTAACAGTTAAAAAAAAGAAAAAGAAAATATGAAAGCTTTCAGATTTTATATTGCGTTTTGAAAGATGTTGATGTTGATGAAAGACATACAAGATGTTGAAAAATCACCCTTTTGGGCATATTTTCAACATCTTGTGTGTCATCTTTATTTATTAAAGTATCATGCTCTTGACATTTAAACCGTTAAAATTAAATTCAACAGCAATATCAAAAAATATTTAAAAACAGCATAATTTTAGAATTTCCGATACACAGTTTCCCGCGCTGGAGATAAAAATGTATTTTTCCGTACAGTGTTGCCATTGCTCGCTTGAGTTTTGGTAATAAAAAATTCGTTAAAGTTTTACAAATTTGAAGCAGTTAAAAAACAAATTTTAAATTCAAAATTCGGGCTTACAAGTTCGGTTGGAGGAGTACGTTATTCAAAATTTGATGGCTCTAAGCACCGTTGTTTTTTCACAGTGCGAGAAACATTCATGCGTTCATGCAGATTCTTCATTATTTAGTTTCTTTAAATATAATACATGGCGATAATATTCGGTGGCAACAGTTTGAAAAGTGATTCGAAGCAAAATCCCGTTTTGAAACTAGTAGCCCTTTGGGTCTAACAGTCCTTTGGGCTAAAAATCGTAAGCTGAGCATAAAATTTACGCATCATATGTGTATATGAATCCAAATGTTACATGTTCTGTTCTGTTTTATAACCGACATTTAAGAATAATTAATATCAGATATAAAATGCGAACTGCTATATATTTCATGTCAATTTTCATCTAATGAATTTCATGATTTCTGAAAATAAATTAAGACCAAGTTCTGTTATTCGACTTACCCCTCTTCCATACAACAGAAAACTAAAACATCCTTATCTCTCCTACATCTACTATTAATTATTAACTTTATTCATTACTGAATAAAGACAAACTGCGAATATCATAAGCCTCTCAATTCATCTCCGCTAGATGGAGCAACATTTTAAATGAAAAGTCCATTAGTCGAAAGCTCCGAAATGGCAAACTAGAATCAAAAGTTCCCAGAACAAAAGATTGGAAACAATGCTTGGAATATCATTTTCCAACAATGCCATTTTTCTTGTTGTCAAGGTAACGTGACGTCATGTGCTATGCATTCAAAACTAACGTAAATAAATATGATGAATTATCTTACTTGCTTCCCCAAACCAGCTTTGTTGCCACAATGTAGCTCGAGCGTCTGTAAAAAAGAATTTTTAATCAGTGAATACGGTTACGAAAAAAAGGCAACAGCTGAACAATTATAAAAGAATGTATAATACAATGGTATGAGTCGTTAAATACTTTAAAAAATAATGAAGTTTAAGTAATATGTGTAACAGAATATACTTTACACAAAATCGCATCTCGAAGAGTATGGGTATTCTTTTTGTTAGATGGTAAACATTTATTTAACCCTTAATCAATGAAGGAAATTATTCCGTATATGTTAATGACAATTAGAATAGCGCTGAAAACGATATCGAATAGTTTTCTTTCTTTTTTCTCTGTCACAATCAATCAAAACATTTTCATTACCTAACAAATGTGAATAAATTATTTCAATAATGTTTTCACTCTGATCGATTATTTTGCTTGGCCCCTTGCCAGTGACAATTTGAATTTAATATTTGCTTTAAACGAGAAGGAAAAACAAATGTCTAGTTGCAATTTATTTTCCTACAAATTCCTTCATTTATATTCATCGGTTTGATTTTCGTATTCATTTATATTCATCGGTTTAATTTTCGTAAATTATAAGTTTTAAATGCACTCTGAAGAATTTTCTGCCGTAAATATAAACTTTATATATTTTTTTAAGAATAAATTTAATTTAATTAAATAAATTTAATTGAAATACAAATTTAATTAAATATTCTTTTTCCATGCAAGGAATGAAATTTAAATTTAAACAAATTTAAATTTAAATTTTAACAAACACGTATAAATGTAAAAAAGCAAATTTAAAGCCAAAATAATTTTTAAAAAAATTTTAAAAAATGTGCAAACATATAAAAGATTTAATTCTCGAACTAATCTACGATATCATTTAAATTCAGAAGCATAAGCAAATCAAGTGCAAAATCAATCCATGAAAATAAATTCACTAATTTAGCAAATTAAATTAAACCAAACAATTTTTTTAAAAAATGCATATAGTGAATGACTGTTGAGTAGGCAGGAGACAGACTATCAAGGGGAAGTTGTCTCCAAACCTAACTCTCCAATCATTCAATTCGTGTTTCGTCATTCATGCAGGCAAGGGTAAAAGTCAAAACCAAAAGTAAAAGAAATACCAATAAAGTGGTACCTTAGAAATTAGCATTTAAGAATTAAAGTTTAAAAGGAAAATATAATGAAGTCTTTTGAGAAACAAGCAAGTAAAGTCAAGTATTAATTAAACTTTTTTTAAAATTAAATTTTTAAAAAATTAATTTTTTATTAAAAATAAAAAAATAATCTAGAAACCAATGTATTTTAGAAACCCTTGTCTACAGAAACATCACCGACACGAATATGCATATCAATAAAAAGAAACTAAAAAAGAACTAGACATAATCCATATAAACCAATAAGAAACAAAAAGAACTAATTCACAATTTTTAAAAAAACAAATATATACTTAAAAATATAATTTCAATTTAGAAAATACTTAAATACTAATAAAAAATTTTAAAAAAAAAAATACTTAAAGCAAGTAAATAGTAAGTTTTAATTCTAACTAACTTACCTTATATGAGTGTTGGGGTCTGCAAAAGTGTTTTTAGAGAGAAGTGTGTTCTTCAAATTATATAGATGGCGCTTATGTAGGTAAAGTTGAGTGTCAAGCTGCTATCTTTGTTATATTAAACAACAAACTTTATATATTTTTATATACATATGTATATTCTCCTCATATAACTGTCTCGTTGGTTGTATGGCGCACATACAAACGGTAATCGATTCGATCCACACCTTTTGAAACATGGCCATCCAGGTCTCCTAATCTAACGCCATGGGACTTCTCTCTTTCATTGAGCTTTAAGCACTGTGTTTTCATACTATCAAGAAACTTTGTTGAATTCAGGAAATTCATAAATTCTGATGTAATGATTATTTAGAGGGACATGAAAAGAACGGATGGAATTCGACTATTGTTTGCATGCTTATCACGTGATCAACGGGACACACATAGAATATCTGAGAGAAAAGCTTAGTAAATTACTGTTTTTTTCTTATATTAATAAGAATACTATGATATGGGAAACATTTTTTTTAATACAGTATTTTAAAAACGGATGAATCATTTACAGCAATCCCTCATTATGCATAAAAGATTAACTATCTTTTGTATACACTACGCAAGATCAGGTCAAAACAAACATTGCATGGACATCTTGAATGTTTCGCCATAATCAAAACAAATGAAATCAAATCAAAACATAAATTATTCGCTACGGCAATAAATGATTTTTTGGGGCTCAAAATAACATTCGTTATTAATTTTATAGCTCAGTCTTTCATAATTCATGCGAAACTTATAAGACAAAATGGCGGATTACATGATTCTGGTCTTTTTATTATTTATAGAAAGAAAACAATATTCGGTCAAAATTCATGGAATATGTTTGCAAGTCTATCATAAGTGTAAGTGATAAACATTAAATAGAATCCAAAAAGTTACAAAATTTTAATCCAATATATAAATATATAAAAATAATTGTTGAAGTATCGCAATGTTCTTTGGTATAAATGAAACCTTGGAGCAGTTAACAGTTACATATCTCTATATTAACACACTAAAATTTATTTTAGGAAAAATAAAAGTGATAACAGATATTCTATCACTTTTATTATTTACTTTTATCACAATAAAAAAGATATCATAAATACTATATAACTTTTATTGTTCTTTAAAATTTTGTAAATGCAGTAATGAAATTTGCATATGGCAGGTTAAGATTTCATTTTTAGTTACGTGTGGTCAAGTATATTATGATAACTGAAAAATAGTTTTTATGTTTTAGCGCATTTGATTGAAACAGTGTAACGGAAAAGTTTTACATATTTTACTTTACGCTTTTAGTCTACAGAACACTGAAAAACAATAAAGAAAAAAATTCATAGCCTTTGAAGATACGAAAACCATTCTCTGTAATTTTCAGTAACATTAAGTTGAATTCAATCAAATTTCTATTCGATTTAGAAATCAGAAGTCAGATCATAAGCTTTCTAATAATGAAAAATTATATCATTTGATTTAAAAAAACCATCAGTGTTAGCAACTGAGCAATGATGGAAAAAAATTGAAAAATTAATACTTACATATTTTCTCCTCGACCATGAAACTGCCGCCAAGCAGAGCGATTTACCGCCAGTAATGGATTAACGTGACGTAATAACACATGATAACATCTATGCTTTCGTTTGCTAAAACCACTTTGATTCCGAAAAGCTATCTTATTTTTTTATGAAAACGGATATAAATTGTTACTGCTGTAATTGTTTTCATTTTTAAAAAAATGGTTAAAATTTGGGACCAGTGATTTCCTGAACTGGATTACTGGACTATTTTCATATAACAAAATAACAAAAGAAGCCCGAAAGATTTTTTTATTGAACAAAGAAACAAAGTGGGTTGAATTACTGATTGCTTGTTAAAGGAGCGTGGGTTCCTCTAGAATTACGCAAGAGAATGATTCGTGCAACATTGGCGAGATCTCCCCCAACGTTCATATTCGATGGTCTTCGCCAACTTTCAGGGTTGATGGTATACTACATAAGTAGCAAAAAACAAAATCTAAAATTCCCCAAATTATTTTGGATATTCCAAAAAATTTGCTGCCACCAGTTGCCAATTGGTTAAAACTGTTGATTATGGCAAATCGACCAGAATTCTAGCTCCGGAAAAAGAACTGGTTGTATCGCTGATTTTTCTGGTTCTTTCTCAAGTGTAAAGTTAATGCGATTGAGTTTTCTTATAAAATCCTTCATATCCCTTCGCTTAGGCAGGTAGTCTTCGTATGCTTTGCCACATTCAAGTAATCTAACCTAACTTTACCTAAACCACAATTCCGAAGGTACTTTCTAGACTTATCTGGTAGTGAAATACACAAAATCACAAGAAATTTAGTTCGACCAAAGAATTTGTACGAGAAATGTCACATTATACGCGTAAAAACTTTGAAGAAAACCGAATGGGTAGATGGTATTAAAAATTACTTGATTTGGCTCAAAACAAGAATATACCAATTTAAAAAAAAGCAATAATTTTTCCTTAGCAAAGTATTCAGATAATTGAAAGCTTCTTCTTTTATAAAATTTTGTTATTATAAACATATCCAAGATGAAAGAAAATATTAGCTACTCTCTGTATTCCTTTAAATATTGATAGCAGACACTTATATTCACTTACAAAAGTTCCTGTTGTATAAGATGGAGAAATTATATAAAAACTGTATATTACTGTAGATGGTAAGATTCTGTAGAAAACAGCTAAGTGTTAGATATGTGTAAAGCTTTTTGCTTTCTGTAGGGAATCTAGGATCAAGCTTCCAAACGAGCAAAGCAGCTAAGAATATCAACCTTCATTGGTGCCATCTATCAGCAAGAATTGCTGTTAACAAATCCAAAACAGCTCATGTTTCTAATTACCAAATACAGATGGCGACACTATTTGAATAACAACCAAATAAAAGTTTTTTTCGCAAACTCCTCAGGAAAACCCTATACCCACGGCAAAACCCAAATAAAGATTAGAGTGCATTTATTTCGCATTGAGAACAAACAGAAGCAGTTAAACATTTTTTTACAGAGACTTCCCCACATACAAGGCGCAAACTCTATTCAGAAGACTTTCATCATTATTTAAAAACGTTTCACAACTTTAAATGCATTTCTTGACTTATTTAATTGAGCAAATAGAGTTCTACACACTATTTTTAATACTTATTTTGCTCCTGAAGGATAGGGTCCTGTTTCTCATCACCCTCGAAATCCATAGAGTTTTATTCAAAATCCACGCCAAAACACATTTTTATTTTTCATCTAATTTTACGTTTTAGCCTCCCAGTTGGAAAACTGAGTTTTCAATGCAGGATTATATTAAGGACTGCGAAAAACCACTCCAGTCATCTCTTGGCAAAATGAGAATGTAGAAATACAAACGCATATACTCCGTACAGTAAAGAAATAAATAAAAGTAAAGTAAAGTAAACGTGACGTTAAACACATATCCTCCAAACAATAAATAAATAAATAAAAATAAAGTAAAATAAACGTGAATTTACGAATACCAATCATATAATATACTGTCATCTACTCATTTATTCGTTGGCGAAAGAATATTGTTCCGATAAAAGTAACATGAAATATATATTTATGAACGCAGCATAAATATAAAAAAATAAAGTGTAAAATCTGTGTATTTTTGATGAAAATATCGCTTCTTTAATATATCAAATTACTGACCGTTTTGCGATATACATTTTTTCCAGCATTTTCAAATACTGTCATAAATACATAACCTTTTAAATTCGAAGCAAAAATTAAAGAACTAATATTTTATTCGTGATTTTAAATCTGCACTACGTTCTTGAAAACAAAGAAAAAACTTCATTTTTGTTATGAATACATATTTTCAACCATTACTTTATATCAAGAAATGACGCCTAAAAGCCTTTCATTAATGCCACATTTGAAAGCAATCTTTTCATGATAAATGCATTAATTTTAATCTTTGGGTTTAATATTAAAAATATTTTTAACGTTTTAATATTAAATTCTGTATTTTTACTATACATGAAACCTGATTCATTATTTCACGGCATTCAAATTATATAATAGGTAATGAATTAAAGATAACTCTAGGAATTTCTGTGTGTCATTTATTACTTCTGCATTTCAAATTTAAGCACATTTATTAATAATGCACAAAACGAAATCTTTAGTAAAGATTTAACGTCTTTCTTTGCATGGAAATGATAATGATCTGATATGTATGCAGATACTTTTTAATCTAAAATGTACTTCGATATTTCACTTTTGCTTATTTATAACCTCAAACCCTTAAGTATTTAGGGAAGCGTAAAGAATAAAAATTTTTATTCTTGCTTTTAATATGAAATTCAAAGTATTGTAAACGCGATTGTTCGAAATATTGTTCTAGAAAAAATTTGCAAAATGGATGTGTTATTAGTATAGAAAAGAAATGGGCATATTATTTTTTACTACCTTGCACAAAGTAAAGGAAATATTATAATCGCGAAAATTTCCGGGCATCATATTTCAACGAAAATATCCATTTTGACACCTCTCAAATCTATTTGAACGATATTTTTGCGTGACATCTGTACGTGCGGATAGAATAAAAGACTCACTTGTCCAAAATGGGATTTAAAATGGATTCAGAAGAGATTTTTTACGTGACGCCTGTACGTACGTGTGTATCTAGCATAACTCAAAAACAAATAGCAATAGAACTTTGAAATTTTTTATAAAGGACCGCTATAACAACTAGTTGTGCACCTCCCATTTTCGTAGTAATCGGCTGCACCAAACGTATATAAGTGTATACACGAGACACACACGCCTCCCACACTTCTACCAGCTCGGACAGCTCAGTCTTTTTTTATTCTTAAATGTTGTAAATTGCGTATTTCTTGGTTTAAATGTACATTATGCGTTTTTTGTTTTGTTTAAAAGTGATTGAATTATATTGTTCTCATCTTCCAGGTAAGTTTTTGTGCCTTTAGATAATCTGCATGTGACAGTTGTAGAATTATTAAGAATTTAAAATTTTAAGTTGAGCTTGGCCTAACGAGGCCGCCATTTGTTTACATTTGAAACTCTAAGTGGTTAAGGTCAGTTGTTGCACCAACTTCAGCGTCTTTTTGTCCAGTGTACCAAAAGTTAAATTTCAGTTTTGCGCACCGAAACTTTTGTCTTCCCTGCCAGTTAGCGGAGTTTCTTTTTTCTTGCGAGAAAATTATTTTAATTGTAAAAATTTTTCCTTTAACTTTTTTTAGTGTTTTTTTTTTTTTTTTTGTTTTGTTTGTTTGTTGTTTTAATTTTTATTTTACAGATTTGAATGCAGATGTTTCGAGTTCCTAAGTATTTTTGCCTTTTCGCGATATGCGAACTGAATTGATTGAGTGAGAAATATATCTCCATTTAAATTCAAGGAAATGAGTTTAAATGAAGTGCAGCAAGAAGTGCGTATAATTAATGGACCGAACAAGGAATGTCATGTGATGTCCGCCTCAAATATTTTAATAGGAGTTTCTAACGTGTTATGTCAATTTGGTGCCTCTTCTAGTTGTTCAACCTTCTCCGAGTTCAGGCATGATTGCTTTCCTCGAGTGATATGGTATTGCACATCCTGAATTTTTACCAATCATCTAGACAATTAACAATGAATGTTATTTGAATATGTTGCAGTGTCTGTGTGAAGCATTTCGTAGAAAAGAAATTGAATTGGGGTAAGACAGCACATGGATTGAGAGCTATCATAATGCACCTGATCACGATGCTTACAATGCTTCAATAAACACGAGTATGCAATTCACTTATTCTTCTGATTTAGCCTTATGGGTCATTTTTAATTTTCGTGGCTAAAATGTTTTTTGTCACCGGTTTGAATTTGTTGATAATATAACAAAAACCGATGGGAGGTCTAAAGTGTTTTATTAAATGACATTAAAATTGTTTCGAGGCCTGGAAAAAGCTTTTACACAAATTGTTGAATTGTTGTCGGATAGAATTATTTTTAGAGGATGCAATAAACATTGACTAATAACTTGAAATTTTGTGTGTTATGAAATAATTACATATACTTTTTGATCATATTAATATGATGTTAGCTTATTCTAAAAATATATAATTGGGTAAGAATATTCCTTAAAGCAGTATTGTCATAAATTTAAACTTACCGACATTTTCTATAAGTGTATTTCTAATATCTTATAAGAAACATCAGTCATAACAAATAAAATCACACGAAGAATATCAAGCATGAATTGTGAAATATTTGAAAAATAAATTCGTACATACTTCCAGCCGCTGTTTTTCAGTATCTTCCCCAGAAGAATTTCAGACCTAGAACAGGACAACAAAAATTAAGTTATAAAAATGTTTAAGAATGCAAAATGGTTTCGACAAAAATAATTTTCACTGGGAAGTGTCCAACTAAAATATATAATCATCTGATAAACATTTTTCCGGTTTGCAAACTAGGAAAATTAAAATTTTTTTTTACTGACAAAAAATATTGTTACGAATTCTTGTATATATATAAATAATTTTAGGAAGTTATGTTTAACGTTAAAAGTTGTAGAGCGTTTTGTTTAATGTAACATGGAAATCTTAAGAATCGAAGCTATACTGGGAAAATAAGATTACATGAGTAAGTCTGTTTAACATTGAAGTAAAAGGCTATCTCTTTTAGGTGGCAACATATCATCAAGCTAGCGTCGGTTTTGGAGACTAATTTTGTCGTCAAATTTGGTAAGAATTGGCCAAAAATCTCCAAACCGAATGACCATTTGGAGACATTTCGATCCAGTCCCTATAGCACTAATTGATACTGTGATTGAATAACTGTAATTGATCTCTATATGCAACTGTAACCGAATCCGACACTTATACGTAACTTTAACCTATCTGCCTTCCAGTAATTTGGAGAAATGGAAGGTACTAGGGATTTCTCGGTGACCGAGGGAAAACTACATAAGATTGCGAAGAGAATCTGCTCTGAGTGGTTTAGTTTAGCTTTAAGTACGGAGTACTGAGAGATGTCTGAGCTTCGTCTTTCAGATGAGCCTTGCATTGCACCGTGTTTAATGCTATTAATTGTTTGAAATATAACCATTGAATTGTACTCTATGATAGTGAGTGGGAAGTTCTAGATCTGCAAAGCATATCTTTTCGCAAAAATACATTTTATCAAGCTGTCACTGGTTCTGTGTTAATGTGTTACGAACCCGTATGCACTCAACAATATAAAGTCTTGTTTTATTTACACAAATAAAAAGCCCTTTTTTTCTGGAGGAAATAATACTTGCAAGGGAAAATAATTATGAATCCATTTCATAATTTTTGTCTTAGTTTACGGAGGTGGCTAATTTGGCACTAAAAATATGTTAAGTATGTATTCTCAAAATGCTCCGTTTTAAACGGATCGAGACTTTATTACATGACGTATAAGAAATCTGAAGAGATTAGACACTTTTTGAGGGCCGGTGGCGCGGTGGCTAGCGCGTCGGGCAGCTGCACCTTAAGTCCGGGATTCGATCCCCCCCCCAAGAGCAAGGCTGACTCAGCCTTACATCCCTTGAATGAGTCGATAAAATGAGTTCCAAGTTCGCTTGGGGACTAAACACCGGGGTCCTGCGACAAGCTGACCACTTGTCCAGGGCGTATGCTGACGCACTCCAGGGCCCAAAATCAAGAAAGCAGATTTGGGGACACTGCAGGCCGTGGCCCACTACGGCTGTTACGCCACTGAGTTTAGTAGAGCACTTTTTACTTCCTTGTACTATTGCCGGTTAACCTTAACGGTGGAGGGATGGTGCCCCCGTCCTCCGTTACTACTACTACTACTACTTCCTTGTACGAAGGTAAAGGAAGTACTGTAATCCTGAAAAATTTCGGGTATCATATTTACAGGAAAATATGCATTTTGACGGCTCTTGAATCCATTTGAAAGATGGTTTTGCGTGGCATCTGCACGTACAGATAAAATAGAGGACTCTTTTTTTCCAAAACGGATTATAAAATGCATCTAAGATGGATTGAGAAGAGATTTTTTCGTGACGTCTGTACGTACGTACGCGTGTATCTCGCGTGACTCAAAAATGAACCTCAGAACGTTGAAATTTTGTATATCAGACTGCTATAATATCGAGTTGTACACCTCCTACTTTCATTGTAATCGGGCACACCAAATATATATTCCCACTCTGTTATCCGGCTCGGTGAGTCCAGACTTTATTCTTACATGTTTGTTTTGGCTGGAAACTCTAAATATAATTTCCTTTAACTGTTTTAGACTGTAGTTTATGGTTTTCCCCCATTTTACAATTTTTAATGAGAATTGAGGTTTTATGTATAATAAATAACTTGAAATTTTGTGTATCGATGCATCGATGTCAGATGCCATGCATCGATGTCAGAACTGAATTGATTGAATTAAAATCTAATGATCTCTAATGAAATTCCAGGAAATAAGTTTAAATGAGATGCAACAAAAAATGTAGAATTTAATAGGTAGTAGAAGGACGTCATGTGGTGTCCACGTCAAATATTTTATTTTCAATTTTTAAATGGTAGATACTGAAACCTAATTTTAAAAACTTCTCGATCAGTGTTTCTGAAACTGTAGGTCGCGACTCAAATGGGGTCTCGAAAATTTAATCCCGATTCACGAATTTAAAGAAATTGGATTAATGAGACTTTTAAAAAAATTACATTAATTGACATTACTGAGCTTAATCATCTGCCATAATTAAGCCCGAAAGGAATTTGTTGAGCTATTGCGTGACTGAAACTTAAAAGTCCGAGTTTCCACAAAGATTCTTGATCAAATTTGCAGCTGAAACTAAAATTCCCACAATTTCTGGAATGACATTAAATGTCATTCAGCAACTACATACTTATGTGAAACGATATTTTCAGCTTTAACGCTTATTAAATCGAAATGTTCAACGCTGAAAGACATCGGAGATATTTCAGGTCCAGGCATGTCAAATACTGTGCACCAAATGTTTAATTTCTAGGCATAAAAAAAGAAGCATATTCATCAAAGGAAAACGGAATTATATTTCAACTATTTTACATACTTAAAACATAAGGCTTAAAACTACATTATTCACTCGCACATTGTTTTCCAAAGAAATAAATTATTTATGAGAAAATAATTATATTTATACCCTTATTCTACATTTAATATCTAGGTTCCAAAAAAATCTCGGTGATATAAGGGGTCATGAATGCAAAATGTTTAAAGTAAGTACTTTTCTAAATAAATCAACAATGAAAAAATGAAGAACAAATCTGAAAGGGTTCAGACTTTAATGATCGCCCAAAAGTATTTTTAAGGTTTTTTAAGCTCTCGCTGAGGTCGCAGTCTACCAGTCTGCTAACCTATTTCTTTGTAGCTTTATAATTAAGCGCCATTTACTTCGCACTACGCCATATACAATTCAACTGCAAAATTATAAAAATTTTAACATCAGCATAGCGGCATATGTTTAGAATTAACGATGCGGTGTTTTAAGTATTGGAACACAATTTTCTATTTTTTCAGTGTTTCTTAGTTCTATATTCTCATATCAATGTTCAGATTTCTTTGTAAGACCACTTGCAAAATTTTTTCGTTTTGTTTTTATTATTAAAATTTTGTGTGTTAGCTTTATTTATAAAATATTATGCTCTCCGCACTTTCGCCACATACAATCAAATCCCCCCCCGGAGGTCGACGTAGAGAACTCTGCGAAGCTACTGGCTAGGATCTGTACCTACGCAGTCGCGGCCACGGGGGTATAACACCACGAACCTGGAGGTTTCAGAACTCGGGGGTGGAACGTTTATACGGCCTGACCTCGGAGGTTTAGCGTAAGTCGTAGAACAGATGGTTCTGTAGCTTGGTGTGGGACGGCACCGAGTTTTCTAGCTAATGTCCTGGTGTGACACGCTACCTTCGTATCCGTATCCTTGTCCTAAAACTGGTACTCAGACCTAATGAGGTCTTTTACCAGGCATTTACGTTCTCTATGGTTCCTGAGAAGAAATGCCTCCAGAAGCAGTTCGCTTCTATTGGAGAAAGTGGCGCCATCCTTTGGCACCGGAGAGAAATATGCTGAAAATCCAGAGTTACTGCCCGCGTAGTACTGATGGGAGCATTAAACGATCAGTCAAGTCCATCAGCTGATCAGGTCACGCCTCCGCTGAAAAGCCGAGAACAGGGAGTGGTGACGCCTCGGGCCCAGCCTAATAAGCGGAGGGTTTTTGGAGTTATGTCGTCTGAGGCTAATTTATTTAAAGACTCTTAAGTTAAATTTATTAATAATGGGCTGCGGCTAAGTTTTGGAGTTTGTCGCCCACTGAGTTGAACTCCAGCCTACTGAGTTGAATTGGTTTTGTGGCTCACAGCAGGTGAGCCCACCCCTGCCTAATATGGAGGTGTCTCAGAAGGAGACGGTTCCCTCACTTGTGTCGAGCCCACCAGCGACCGAGCGGTAAGGTCGCTGAACACTGGTAGTTCGGTCCGAGGCGAATCCCGCGAACGGGCTGGCTGCATGGGTGTTTTCGTGGGTTTCCCCATGTGTAACGTGTATACGAGCCAGTTTCCCTTAGAAAGTCCTCCACGAAGGCATTCCTCCCCTTAGACAGATAGCCCTCGAGGCTTTGCCTTAATTAAATTACCTAACCTAACCTAACCTAACCTCAGTTGTGTCATGTAGGACGCAGAAGGGGTGTATAAATATTGATTGATACGATTAAATTCAATAGCAAAATCACAACATATTTAAAAACTGCATATCTCTAGAATTTCCGATAGACAGTCTCGCGCGCTGGAGATAAAAATGTTTTATTCCCTACATTGTTGCTCGCTTTCAGATCGTTGAATTTTTTAATCAAAAATTCATTTAAGTTATAGTGTATTATTATCTAACTAGTTAATAGTAGTGATCTGTTAACTAAGTGTGAAGGACCCTAGTGAACAGCTAAGCGAAGAATCGTTTAAGCTCAGAATTAGAAACGTAAACTAAAGAAAGGCTAATTACCCTTTATTGCTCCAAATACAGATAGTCGGCTCCTCTCTCAGGGCAAACAGCAAAACCTCCACATGGACTTGAACTCAAAAGTATAAGAACTAACTAATGACTAGATAAAGAGATTTTAGCCGAAGCTAACACAAAACTAAACTAGCCGGCACCTAAATATCGAATTAGCTAGCGAAGCTATCAATGTCGCGTTATACTGTCGAACGTCGTAACAGCTTAGAGAGACGTAGCCAAAAGTAAAACGCGCGCTATTCAGAAATTCTGTAACTTCGACTTAAATACTACACCTTCATATTTGCATTAAATGCCATTCTAAAAACTCATTCCGGTAAGGAATTGCAAGCTCAAATTAGGAGAGATAGAAAAGGTGCATAAACTTAAAAATAACTGCTATGAACTTAGGATAAACCTTGCAAAGTTTTACAATACATGAAACATAAAATTCAAAATTCGGACTTCCAGTTATACATCTTCGGGTGGAGAACTACGTTATAAGGTACTTCTCGCCTTCCTGGTGTAGTGGTTCTGCTCGCTGGGCCGGTATTCCAGAGGTCCGTGGTTCAATTCCCGGCGAATAATACGAAAAATACTTAATACTCGAAAAAATACTTAATGTCTCTACAGTGTCCCTGTTCGGGCGCCACTGTAGAGACATTAGGTATTTTTTCGTAGCAGGCAAACAAACAAGAATTGGGCATTCCAGCTCCGTGAACTCAATCACACTACAGTTCCACTCCCCCCCTTTGGGCACTTCGTGGAGGTTCAACCTCCACTATTACCCTTCCAGGGGAGCAGCGCACCACCTGGATGACACCAGGCAGCACTGGTCGTCAATTGCTCCTGCCACTCGCATGGGCGAGCCCGTCGCAGAGGGCCGTTACCCAGAAAACCGGGGAGGGAATCCCCGGCTACGGATCCAACCGCTCAGGATATGGCAGACACCGAGGCCGGCCAATAAGTCACCTTTCCCGGGGCCTTCAGAACAACCAAGTTCATAAATTTTATAGCCCCGTGGCCGAGACTGCCTAGGTACAAATCCTAGCCAGTAGCTTCGCAGAATTCTCTACGTCGACCCCCAGGTGAAAAATTAGTAACGCTTTCGCCGGGAATCGAACCACGGGCCTATGGAGTACCGGCCCAGCGTGAACCACTACACCACGAAGGCACGCTAGGAAGGCGGGAGAAATACCTTATAACGTTATTAAAAATTTGATCGCTCCAGGTACTGTTGTTTTTTCATATTGCGAGGAACATACATGCTTACATGCAGATTCTTCATTATTTTAATTTCTGTCAAAATAACACAGGGCGACCGTATTTGGTGGCAACAATTTGAAAACTAATTCTCCGTTTATAAAAGATGACGCAAAATCCCGTTTCGAGACTAATAGCCCATGCGGGTAACGCTCTTTTGGGCTAAAAACTTATTACGAAACTTTCTCATATCAAATAATTGAAAGCTACGAATGAAATTGTGAAATTTTCAGTATTACGTATTTCGCTTAAAAGTACTTTGCTTCGAATATTGCCATAAGATTAATAAAAAATTTTTAACTCACATATCTTTCTTTATTTGAAATAAATTCCAACTTTTATATTCAAATAATAATTTTCACATTATTGAGTCATCAACGGCAACCTAATGACAAAATAAAATTATGAAAACAAACAAAACAAATTCTTTTCCTCTTTCGCCATTACGATAAGCAAATATCAAGAGAAAGAAGAAATGTTTGAAAAATATCCGGAACGAAAATCGAGGTGCGTAATGGAAATAAGAATTTTACTGGATTGAATATCGTTTTTCTCTCAAAGGAAAAAAACAAAATAATATTAAATCCAATAAAATATCTTTAATGATTTCAAACAAATTGTAAAAGTCTAGCATAATGTTCCAGTACATTTATCGGACAGCTCAGATAAAAAATTAAATGAGGATAATTTATTTCTATTTTGCATGCAATTTCTATTTGCACAGAAAGCTTTGCTCGCTGAAAAATAAAAATTATTTAGTTTGGCTTTCCTGAATGTTTCAAACACGATTTTTTATTTATTTATTTTTATTGAAAGCTCTTTGTAGCGACAAAGTACACAAACTCTTAAAAGAAATACTGTTTTATTTTTTCTTCAAAAAAACGTAAAGCTGGAAACAGAAAAGTATACAGTTGAATAAAGTTGTTCTGAAAGTTTTTACTTTATACGTTAGGTGCTTCAGCTTTGAAAGATAGCAATATTCATTTCTCAGATAGTTTTTAGCCCAAAGAGGCGGCAGCTCAAAAGGACTATTAGACTGAAAACGGCATTTTGTGGCGTTTTACTATAAAGGGCGAACCACTTTTAAATTGTAGCCACCAAATATTATCGCCCTGTATTATATTTAAAGAAATTAAATAATGAAAAATCTGCTGGAATTTATATGTGTTTCTCGCATTGTTAAAAAGTGACGGTACCTAGATCCATCAAAATTTTCAATAGCGTATTCCTCCATCCGAACATGGCCACTTTGGCACCTGAACTTTGAATTTCGAATTTTCTTTATTACCTATTTCATATTTTGTAAAAACTTTAACAACTTTTTGATTAACAAGCACAACGATTTAAAACCGATCAGAGGTAAGAGTGTGCGGAATAAAATTTTTTTATCTCCAGCAGGCGAGATTGTCGATCGGAAATTCTAAAGATAGGTTATTTTTAAATATTTCATGATATTTCTATTGAATTGAATTTTATGTGGTTGAAATGAGAAGAACATGATATTTGATAAATAAACATAACACACAAAACTTTAGAAAAACAAAACGCTCCTTTGGACGTAATATAAAATCTGAAAGCTTTCAGATCTTTTTTTTTTAAATCGCTCTTTAGGCTTTAGTCATTACTAAGGCCAGAAGCTGTGCATCATTTTACTACGGATTCACCTAATAGGCGGCTACTGTTCTGTCCTAAAGAGGGACAA